TTTAAGCTTATATTAAGTATACATTATAGATTGTTTTCCTGGTGCATTGATCTTTATATCACCTTTTTCTACTCTTTGGTGCTAATGATGACTTAGATCTTAAGGTCCATTGTGTGTGATAGTGGTATGAAACGCTTTTCCTTGGTCATCACTTACCTTTCCTTTCCTTACGGTCTTTTGTGTCATTATATTTTAGGACTGTCTCTTGAACATTGCTGGATTGTGTGCCTTTTTAACAAATCCAATTTGATAATGTCTACCTTTTTTATTGATTATTGATCTGTTTGAATTTTTTGTGCTATTGTATCTTACACCATTTGTCTTGCTTTCTCCATTTTTCTCCTAGATCAATCTAGTTTTTAAAAATTTGTTGGTCTTTTTCTGATAGGTTTGGAAGACATATATTCAATTCTATTCTTTTAGTAGCTTCCTGTAAAATTTTACTATGCAGTGTAGCCTTTACAAAGTCTAAAGTGATCACGACCTCTTCCTTCTGAGCAATACAAGGACCTTAATACGCTTTCACTCCTGTCTTACATGTTGTTGCTATCTGGTATTGTGGTTCTATCTAATTTTTAAAAACTCTCCAACTTATCATTACCGTTATTGTTTTATATAATCACTGCCTGCTCATATTTACCCCCATATTTACTATTTTATTTACCTTTTCTTTTGGCATCTTGTTTCTAGGCCGAATTTTCTTCCTGGCAGGGTGAGGTGGCTCACACCTGTAATCCTGACAGGCTGAGGCAGGAAGATTGTTTGAGCCCAGGAGCTCTAGGAGTTCGAGACCAGCCTCGGTAACATGGCAGAACCCTCTCTCTACCAAAAAATAAAAAAATTAGCCAGGTATGGTGGTGCATGCCCATAGTCCAGCTACTAGGGAGGCTGAGGTAGGAGGATCGCTTGAGCCCAGGTTGAGGCTGCAGTGAGATGTGACTGTGTCACTGCACTCCACCCTGGGTGACAGAGACCCTGTCTCAAAAACAACAAAAAATGTTTTTTCTCCCTGAAGTACCTTCTTTAGTAGTTTTTTCAGAAAGGACTGTTAATGTTAAACCCACTCTCTTTTTCTGAAAAAAGTCTGTTCCCTCAACTCTGAACAATAATTTATAGGTAGACCAGATGTTACAAGACCCCCTCCCACGGCCCTCTGACCCCAACTCTTCCAGTTTCTTCTAGACTACCAGTGTTTGCCCCTTTGTGCCTGAGGGCCAGAAGTGTTGAGGGCTGAAAGCCTCCTGAAGCAGCCCTGGCAATAACTTGACAGGAAGGAATAAGTGTAGAAACTCCCCTGACCTAAGACAGAAGATTCGGAGGCGTGGACCTTACATTTTCCCAGACTTTCCTCCACAGGAAGCTTCCTTGTCTACTTGGTGACTGGCATAATAAACATCTTTTATTGGCTGCTTTTCCTGCCCCATATCACATTCCCACTTCCCTGCCGATGCTTCCTGCCCTCCCAAATCAATTATCTACACTAAAATACTCAGGGTCTGCTTCTGGGACTTCAAACTAAGACACTGCATATAGAATTATCCACGAATGGACTTTTTCTCTCAGCACTTCTCTATCTTCCAATTCTGTCATGTTTAATTCCTCCTCCATTTTTTTTTTTTTTTTTTTTTTTGAGATGGAGTCTCACTCTGTCACCCAGGCTGGAGCGCAGTGGTGTGATCTTGGCTCACTGCAACCTCTGCCTCCTGGGTTCAAGCAATTCTCCTGCCTCAGCCTCTTGAATAGCTGGAATTACAGGCATGTACTACCACACCAGGCTAATAGTTGTATTTTTAGTAGAGATGGGATTTCTACATGTTGGCCAGGCTGGTCTCGAACTCCTGACCTCAAGTAATCTGCTGGCCTCAGCTTCCCAAAGTGCTGGGATTACAGGCATGAGCCACCGTGCCTGGCTGCTCTTCCATTTTTTTGTTTCCATATTTCAATAATTCCTTTAGAACCACTTCCCAGCTTTTTTTTTCCTCCAAAAATATCCGGTGTATTTGAGTTTTTCAGTTAACTTACTATATACATTAAAGTGTTTTCTTTTCTTTTTTGGGACAGGATCTCACTCTTGGCTAGGCTGGAGTGCGTGATTATGGCTCACTGCAGCCTCGACCTCCTGGGCTCAAGGGGTCCTCCTTCCTACCTCAGCCTCCTGAGTAGCTGGGACCCCAGGCATGCACCACCAGGCCCAGCTAATTTTTTATTTTTATTTTTTGTAGAGATGGGGGGTCTCGCTGTGTTGCGTAGGCTAGTGTCAAACTCCTGAGCACAGACAATCCTCTTGCCTCCGCCTCCCAAAGTGTTGGGATTACAGGTGTGAGCCTCCACGTCTGGGCTTAAAGTTCTTTTTCAAGTTTTCCTTCTGTTTTTTTTTTTTTTTTTTTGGACAGAGTGGCTTGGTCACCAGGCTGGAGTGCAGTGGTACGATCTTGGCTCGCTGCAACCTCCGTCTCCCGAGTTCAAGAGATTCTCCTGCCTTAGCCTCTGGAGTAGCTGGGACTACAGGTGCCTGCCACCATGCCCAGCTAATTTTTGTGTTTTTAGTAGAGATGGGGTTTCACCATGTTGGCCAGGATGGTCTTGATCTATTGACCTCATGATCCGCTTGCTGTGAGCCACCATGCCCTGCCTTAAAGTTTATTCTTTGTAAAGACAGGGTAGGGTCTTCCTGTGTTGCCCAGGCTGGTCTTGAACTCCTGGTCTCAAGCGATTATCCCATCTCAGCCTCCCAAAGTACCAGAATTACAGACATGAACCACCATGCCTAGCCTCTATTATAATTTTAAACACTTTTTTTTTTTTTATCTTTCTCTGATTTTATTATCTGAAATTCTTAGGGATCTAATTCTTGGTCATGGTAGATTGTTTTCTCAAGTGTTGAAAAATTTGTGATTTTTGAATTCATCCTGAAGAGAGCTTTATTTGCATGAGTGTAAAGGATGAAGATTCTAGGCTGGGCACGGTGGCTCATGCCTGTAATCCCAGCACTTTGGGAGGCCGAGGCAGGCGGATGACGAGATCAGGAGTTTGAGACCAACCTGACCAACATAGTGGAATCCTTTCTCTACTAAAAATACAAAAAATTAGCTGGGTGTGGTGGTGGTGCCTGTAATCCCAGCTACTTGGGAGGCTGAGGCGGGAGAATAGCTTGAAGCTGGGAGGTGGAGGTTGCAGTGAGCCATGATTGCGCCACTGCACTCCAGTCCGGTGGACAGTGCAAGACTCCATCTCAAAAAAAAAAAAAAATTCTAAAGACTTAATTTCCCCTCCCCAACTGAAACAGGTGGAGACAGGCAAACTTCCTTATCTGCTATGTTGGGGAATGGATTTTTTTCCTGGTCCACCGTTTGGAAGATGTTTCCCTTCCAAGTTTTAGCTTTATGCAGGGATCTCCGTTCTAGCTCTCCCTCTGGGTCAGGCCCAGAGCTGAACTGCCCATTCTTGCAATCTGCAGCCTCCAGTCTGGAGGGTTCCCAGACTGGCCTATGCTAGGCCACCCATGGGCCTATCTTGCCTCATGCTTATTTAGGCTCCTCTTCCTCATTGACCCTTGAAGATATTCCTTACTTTCCTCCCAGATCAACTGCATTTAAAAAATTGTTGTATTTAGCACAGCAGTGTAAAGGTATGCTGTAATGAGAGGGTTTTCAGATGAGTTTTTTTAAAAAGCTAGAAGTGGAAGTCCCGATGGCCTTATTTTTTTCTCCGTGAGACGGAGTCTCACTCTGTTACCCAGGCTGGAGTGCAGTGGTGAGATCTCAGCTGACTGCAAGCTCTGCCTTCCAGGTTCACACCATTCTCCTGCCTCAGCCTCCCGAGTAGCTGGGACTACAGGTGCCCAAGACCACGCCCGGCTAATTTTTTGTATTTTTAGTAGAGACTGGGTTTCACCGTGTTAGCCAGGATGGTCTCGATCTCCTGACCTCGTGATCACCTGCCTTGGCCTCCCAAAGTGCTGGGATTACAGGCGTGAGCCACTATGCCTGCCCCCCCCCCCCCATGGCCTTTTCTACTGTCTCATGCTGATTCTGCCTCTTGTGCCATTTTTCTTCCTTGGGAGTGTGCATCTTTCTCTTCTGGGGCGGTAAAGGGAGTGGTGGAGTGCGAGGTATGTGGGAAGGGAGGAGGTTGGAACCTAGTGGTTTCTCAGTCTTAGGGCAGGGGGTATCATGGAGAAGCAGTGAGGAGGTCTTCCATACCCAGACATGCCTCAGGGTGCTCGTCTCAGTGCCTGGAATCCCAGCATGAGAGTCACCTTCCCCCCACCCCTGCCCATTTCATCAGTTACTTATTTTAGTAGGAATTAGTTTAGCAGATGATGCTGAGAATTAGGCTTTTGGGAATGGGAAGCTGGGAAGAATGTGTGTGTGTGTATGTGTGTATATAAGGGCAAGGTACCAGAAGTGGCTGGAAGCGTCCTTGAGAATTAGAATTATTAGAATGTAGAAATAGTAAAAGTATTAGACTCAAACCATCGTTCCCCACCTTCACCATTTTACAAAGGCCTAGGTTTGTGGCCAAGACCTTCAACTTTAACTGGTCCATTCAACCCTGGCCAGGATCCAAGTGGACTGTTTTTGTCAGGGCCAGGACCGGATCCTTCATACCTGGGGTGCATAGGAAGTGTTAGTGCTCCCCTTCCTCCAAACACAGCAGCAAAGTTGGCTCAGGTTGAGGTGTTTTTCCCAACTTCCCTGGAGCCCAGCCCTGGAAGCTGGATCAGGAAGCTGTGGTATTCTAGTGTGACTCCCCCTAGCCTGTATCAGCCTGCCCTGAGGCAACCGGCATTCCTGGTTAATCCCGCCCAGGTGGGGTACTCTAGGAAGACCAGAGATCAAGTGTGGGGGTGGGGGGGGGTGTTTGGGGAGGGCAAGGCAGTTCATTAAGGCAGCTGCCAGGAGGTCTCCCTCCAAACTCAACAAAGCTTTATCAGCTTGGAGGTACTTCTAATACCATTTCCTTTCATTGTTCCCTTTTGGTAATTAAAAGGAGGCCAGTCCCCCGTTGTGGCAGCTCACAACTATTGTGGTGGGAAAGGGAGGGTGGTTGGTGGATGTCACAGCTTGGGCTTTATCTTCTCCAGCAGTGGGGACTCCACAGCCCCCGGGCTACTTAACAGCAAGACAGTCCGGAGCTGTAGCAGACCTGATTGAGCCTTTGCAGCAGCTGGGAGCATGGCCTAGGGTGGGCGGCACCATTGTCCAGTGGCTGAGTTTCCCAGGGACCTTGGAGATACCCGCAGCCCTCATTGCAGGGGAAGGTATGGCCTTTGGAAGGAGAACTGGCTCAGTCGTGGGAGGAAGATGAAGGACTGACTGATCCCTGCTCCTGGGGAGCTGGAGTTCTCTGTCCCTGGACTGGAAGGGCTTTGTTTGGAGGGGCAATTCAGTTCAGCCAGGGGCGATCCTAATACTCCCTCCTCCACTTGCCTCTGAGGGTCCTGGGCCTGCTTTTCTTCATGCAGTGGGTTTTACTGTTTCATAGTACTTCACTCAAGTGAGTAGGAATGAGCTTTGCCCTCACCTGTGATAACCTTCTGGGAGCAGCTGAATGTACCTGAGTGTTAGGACTGGGAGGGGACACTTGCTTGGAGACCAAGACCTGGCTGTAACTGACATCTCAGTGTTCCTTCCACAGATATATCACATATTGGCTTTATTTCACCTTTGGCCGGATGGGACCTTAGGTAGGAAAGGAGTCGCCCCCAGTGAATCTCAGGCGACAGATTCTACATTTCATTTAACCACCTTTCCCAGAGGAGAGGGCTATAGCAGGGGCTCTAAGGGACTTTTGTGGTGTGCTGTGCTAGCCAGGATTAATTGTCCCTCTCTTGGGGGTCACATAGTAGGGAAGCCCGCCTGCATCCAGGGCTGCTGGACTCCTGTCCATTTTTTCAGATGAACTCGGCAAACATTTGCTGGGCGTCTCCTGGGTGCTAAGCATCTTGCCAGGTGCTGGGGTTGGAGACGAGGGAGACAGCCCTTGCTCTTGTGAAGGCCCTCGTGGTACAGACTCGGGCCAACAAGCAAACCATCAAGTTGGCAGTTCCTGAGCATTCTCTGTGTCTGGGCTGCTGTGGTGGGCACAGAAGTGTAGGATGGTTCCTACTGGCCAGTTTGGATGCAGAGGCAGGAAGGAATGAGGTGTGTGTTAGCTCCCAGCTGCTTCAGGAGGCAGGGACATGAGAGAGGCCCGGCTGGCCTGGAGGGAAGGCAGGGTTTGCCTCCTGTCTTGGGCGGGACTGCTGTCTGTGGAAAGGTGCCCACAGCTCCCAGCTCACAGCGATTGTTACCCTTGGGCCTGGCACTGGCCAGGGCTTTCTGGGGGTGGGTGGGACAGAAGGCCATGTTCAAAGGTGAAAAGGGGGTCATGAGGATCCATCTTCTCTCCTGCTTCAAAGAAACGTTTTTGCTACTGCATGCCCTGACAATCGCCACACCAGCCACCTACCTGGGCAGCAATGACCAGCTCACATCTCTTCCTTGTCTGCAGATGATTCCTGCCAGATTTGCCGGGGTGCTGCTTGCTCTGGCCCTCATCTTGCCAGGTAGGTACCAAAGGGCCTCCATTTCTCATTCCTGCCCCAGGGCCATCTGGAGTGACCCTTTTCTGGGACTCAGCAGGTGTGTCTGGAGCTCCCCTGTGTGCCTAGCCCCAACTTAGGCTCCCGCTGGTTGCTTCCTGTGAAGGTTCCGCAGAGTTCCTACCCTTGACTTGTATTGCAGAGACCAGGTGCCTGCAAATGCCATCTCCTATTAAGACGCATAAAGGTGGCACAGAACTGCCCTATATTATGGGGCCACAGCATGAGGAAGAAGAAATCCAAGACTTGGATGGATTATTAGTTTTAGATGAGATTGTGGAGGTCACCTAGTTGAACCTCCCATGGTACAAATGAAGAGACCGAGGGTCAGAGGAGAAATGACTGCCCCAAAGTCTAGAGCCAAAATCAGAGGTCAGTCTTCGTGGGTCCCAGGCCAACACCCTTTCCACCGCACTGCATCATACTGCTGCCCTTCCCTTGCTAAGATTCTGAGCCTGTAAATGGTGGGAGGGGACTTTTGACCTTGGGTACTTTCCACTTGGGCGTCTCAGGTCAGCAGCATCCAGTTGCTGCCTGCAGGTGAGTCTGGGGGAAAAAAAATACACATTTGTCACACTCTGCATCTTCAGGTGGGTCTTTTGCCAGGAACCCAGAAGGCTTAGAGATTTACTGCTGTATTTCCCCATCTGCCGACACACAGGCGCACACACACAACCATGGTCAGTGAAGGAGTTAGCATGTGATGCTGGAGGAACTGACACTTCATAGTCTGTGTCAGGCACACCGTCTGATCTGTTTAAAATTTAACCTGCTCAAGATATACTAGATATACTAGACTTATGTACAAAGATGCTCATTGCAATCTATTTGTAACATTAAAACATGGAAACATGCTAGAAACCTAGCGATAGAGGGCTATACTATAGACATTGAGATGCAAAATATGATGCAGCCACTAAAAACCGCGTATTGGAAGTACATACAATAGCGCGATGAATGATTTACAATCTATTGAGAAATAGGTTATAGGTAGTTTGCACAAGGTGGTCACCAGTTTATGAAAAACCCACAGCTGTATGTATGCTATAAAATAAAATGGAAAGATGAACATTGAAATGTTAATTCTAATCGCTAAATGTTGGGTTACAGATGGTTTTAACTTCTTTGTGTGTTCTTTCCTCGTTTTTGAGACAGAGTCTCACTCTGTTGCCCAGGTTGGAGTGCAGTGGTGCGATCTTGGCTCAGTGCAACCTCCGCCTCCCGGGCTCAAGTAATTCTGCCTCAGCCTCACGAGTAGCTGGGATTACAGGCGCCCACCACCGCACCCGGCTAGTTTTTGTATTTTTAGTAGAGACAGGGTTTCACTATGTTGGGCAGGCTGGTCTTGAACTCCTGACCTCAGGTGATCCGCCTGCCTCGGCCTGCCAAAGTGCTGGGATTATAGGCATAAGCCACTGTGCCCGGCCAGCTTCTTTGTGTTTTCTTCTGTATGCTCCAAATTTTTAATAATGAACATGATGACATTTTAAATCAGTAAGTAAATGTCATTAAAACTAGTAGATTCCTGAAAAACTGTTCCTTAGTTATTGCTGTGAGTCTGGGGTCGTATATGGGAGCTGAAAGCAACAGCTTTAGTCTCATTTAGGATGGAAAATACCTCCGCACAGCCCAATTTCTATCAGAGGCAGTCTAACTTCTATGAGGCCAGAGAGGTTTGAGCTGATGGTCCCAGTTGTGGCCTGGGATCACCAGCCCAACCTGTGGCCTTTTCCCCTCCAGGGACCCTTTGTGCAGAAGGGACTCGCGGCAGGTCATCCATGGCCCGATGCAGCCTCTTCGGAAGTGACTTCATCAACACCTTTGATGGGAGCATGTACAGCTTTGCGGGATACTGCAGTTACCTCCTGGCAGGGGACTGCCAGAAACGCTCCTTTTCGATTATTGGTGAGTTCTGGGCACTGCAGGGAGGAATCCAGAGTGCTGACCGAGCTCAGCCCTGGTGTGGGGAGGGATTCCTGCTCTTGGAATAGTGTCTGAGCTAAAAGGTCACTGCTGAGAACAAGGAGAGGAACAGCCTTTCTGTGACATGTAACCCCTCTTGGCTTTCCCCGGGTCTCTTACCACGGGAGCCGCGTGGGGTGAATGAAGAGATTCTTCATCCTCTCTGGTAGTTCACTGTGTCCATTGCTCTGGGTCCAGGCGATGCCCTGGGAACGCCACAGCATCAAGGCTAATGGTGAATTGGAGAAGGTGCTTTGGAACATGTAAAACTCTTGTCAAAGGGAAGACTCGTTTTCTTGGTGACCTGTGGATCCAGAACATCAGCTTATGCTGAGGACTTCCTGTATTCCTGGAGAAGGGCTGGTCCTGTCCCTGCCATGTCCCTGTATCCCCACAACAACCCTGGGATGTAGCTATAGTCACCCCAGTTTTACCAATGGAGAACCAAGGCCCATGGAGGTTGCATCTTCCTTCCAAGGCCTGACAATAAAAGGTGGAGCTGAGGCTGGCACAGTGGCGCATGCCTGTAACCCCAGCACTTCAGGAGGCCAAGGAGGGTGGATCACCTGAGGTTAAGAGTTTGAGACCAGCCTGACCAACATGGTGAAACTCCATCTCTACTAAAAATACAAATTAGCCAGGTGTGGTGGTGTGTGCCTGTAATCCCAGCTACTTGGGAGGCTGAGGCAGGAGAATCGCTTGAACCTGGTTGCAGTGAGCCAAGATACACTCTAGCCTGGGCGACATAGTGAGACTCCGTCTCGGGAAAAAAAAGTAGAGCTGGATTTTGATCCCAGGCCTCTCAGGCTGACAGAACGTTCTTCTGGACTAAGGGGAGAAGACGCTTGCCAAGGTGGGGAGGGGCAGGGATGGACGATTATGGTTTGGTGACCTCTACATACTAAAAACTAGCCAATGTGTGCAGTGTGTGAGGGAGGGATGCCAAAAAACCTAGCAAACGTGGGGGCCCCAGCCTTGGAACGGAGATGGCAAAGGACAGGCTCATGCTGTTAAAAGATATTCATGACACTTGTTAAAGCAACTAAGGAAGACTTTCAAGAGGGACTGCTGCCATGTGGGTTTTTGCAGAGGAGGGGGGGGAGAGAGGGCTCAAGTTTTTTTTTTTTTTTTTTTTTTTTTTGGAGACAGACTTGCTCTGCTGCCCAGGCTGGAGTGCAGTGGCATGATCTCGGCTCACTGCAAGCTCCACCTCCTGGGTTCATGCCATTCTCTTGCCTCAGCCTCCCAAGTAGCTGGAACTTCAGGTGCCCACCACCACGCCTGGCTAATTTTTTGTATTTTTTAGTAGATGTTAGCCAGGATGGTCTCGATCTCCAGGATGGTCTCGATCTCCTGACCTCGTGATCCGCCCACCTTGGCCTCCCAAAGTGCTGGGATTACAGGCATGAGCCACCGCGCCTAGACGAGAGGGTTCAACTTTGAATACAACAAGGAAAAGTGAAGATTTTGGGGCCAAGGAGGAGGGGGGAGGGTAGGGGTCAGTGGTAGAAATTTACAAAGAGGAAACCTCAGAAGTAAGAGGGGATATTCTGGTTAACCCAGCTTGACAGGAGTCTTGCTGAAGTCAGGCAGTCTTGCTGATCACATATTGAGGGTGGTAGCATCTTTTCTAAATCCACTCAGCAGGATTCTTACTAAAACTGGACTGAGGCCAGGCACACTGGCTAAGCACCTGTAATCCCAGCACTTTGGAAGGCCGAGGTGGGTGGATCACGAGGTCAGAAGTTTTGAGTTAAACCCGGTCTCTACTAAAGATACAAAAAATTAGCCGGGCATGGTGGTGCATGCCTGTAATCCCAGCCACTCGGGAGGTTGAGCCAGAGAATTGCTTGAACCCGAGAGGCAGAGGTTGCAGCGCGCTGAGATTGTGCCTTTGCACTCCAGCTTGGGCAACAGGGCGAGACTCCATCTCAAAAAAATCCCACAAAAAACAAACTGGACTGAGCAGGCCAAGGACAGAGCCCAAGGCCAAGGCTTAATTTAAAAGAGGGCTCAGAAGCGCCCACTCAAGTTTGGTCAAGGAGGGGGTCTTTGGCAACACCCAGACATTTACCTGAGATCTGGGCTGTAGGGCTCCTGGGATCATTGCTCCATCAGTCAGTGGGGACTGCTGCAGGGTCCTCCATGTGCCCAGCACTGGGCTAGGCTCTGTCTGGCACCTGGCTTATAGCTATGAGCTCCCCCAATTCCTGGTCTCTCCTTGAGGCCATCTTTGCCAGCTGCCCTGACTCTGCTGGGAAACCTATCACATGTGACATCTGGGCACTGCCATCCTTCCCACCCCTCCGTGAGCTCCTCGGGGATAAGGAGCATGTCTCACTCATTTGTGTTTCCTGGTGTTGAGCTCACTGGGTTCTCTGCTGTGCTGAAGATTATGTATTTTTGAGACGGAGTCTTGCACTGTTGCCCAGGCTGGAGTACAGTGGCGTGATCTTGGCTCACTGCAACCTTCTACTTCCTGGGTTCAAGCAGTTCTCCTGCCTCAGCCTCCCAAGTAGCTGGGATTACACCACCACGCTTGGCAAATTTTTGTATTTTTAGTAGAGATGGGGTTTCACCATATTGGCTAGGCTGGTCTCAAACTCCTGACCTTGGGTGATCCACCCGCCTCGGCCTCCCAAGGTGCTGGGATTACAGGCGTAAGCCACCAGGCCTGAAGATGTTTACAGAGGGTGTGTGAGCAGCCACAGGAAAGGAGCTTTGGATGACCAGAGGACAGGGGAGGGTGCTGCCTGCCATGGGGACAGCGTGAGAAGTGGGGAGGCTGAAGGGGCATGTGCTTCTGACGTGGAGCCCTGGGGAGGTCAGTGTAGCTGGAGCAGCAGTTGCCAAACTCCAGGCTGCATTAGGACCACCCGGAGGGCTGTGACAAACGGATCACCGGGCCCTGCCCCTGGAGTTCTGACTCAGTAGATCTGGAAGAGGGCCTGAAAATTTCATTTCTAACAATTTCCCTGCTGCTGCTGCTGCTCTTTAGAGTGGGTGACTAGACTTTGAGTGCATGGGACTGGAGAGTGGGCTGAGAGGCTGGGCCATTGGGTGAGGCTGCAGTGGAGGGTCTTGAAGTCTGATGGGGAATTTGAGTCCATTCTGCAGGCTGTGAGGAACTAGTGTAAGGTCTTGTGCAGCAGGGAAGTGGTGAGAGGAAACTGGTTTTTTGCCAAGATGGTCCTGAAAGGGAAAGAGGTGGTAGGTGGAGTGGCCTTGGCCGTTGTAACCAGGCAGGCAGTGAAAAGGCCAGAGACGCCCCAGGGCATGACAAATCAAGTCATCCTCAGCACCAAGGTGAGGGTCCCAATTTGATTCAGAGGCTGCAGCTGGGGAGGAACTGGAAGAGCAGCTGGAGAGAACCCCCCCACCCCTGCCCCTGGGAAGCTGAAGACTCATGCCCTCCCTACCTTGGGTGACCCCAGATTTTGTTTAAAGTAGATTTTCCCATTTTATAAATCACAGCAGAGCTGATACAGACCCCTACCTGTAATGGCTCTGGGGTTGTCAGTGGGAATGGAGGGTTAGAAGTGACCAGAGGAGGCCAGGTGCAATGGCTCATGCTTGTAATCCCAGCACTTTGGGAGGCCGAGGCAGGTGGATCACCTGAGGTTGGGAGATCGAGACCAGCCTGGCCAACATGGTGAAACCCCATCTCTACTAAAAATACAAAAATTAGTCTAGTGTGGTGACATGCACCTGTAATCCCAGCTGCTCAGGAGGCTGAGGCAGGAGAATCACTTGAACCTGGGAGGTGGAGATTGTGGTGAGCTTAGACTGTGCCACTGCATTCCAGTCTGGGCACAGACTGAGACTGTCTCAAAAAAAAACACCAGAGGAAGATTTTGATGGAGACACTGCAGTGCCCAGCGTGGGGGCAGGGGCGGGGGTGGATTGCTGTCTGGACTCCACAATCCGTTTGTTCAGCTCTGCTCTGGACTCCCTGCCTCGAGGCGGGCTTGTAAACATGTACTAATACCTTAGTCCCAGGCACAGAGTTCATGTTCTGGGCTCAGAGAGCCAAGTTAGCATGTTGGAAAAGCTCCCAGCTCCCTTCCCCTATTTCAGCTGAACTCCAGACCCCTCCCCATGTCAGGGTCCCTGGTGGGGACACATAGGGTGTGCTGGTGCCTCTGGGCTGTCTGTCACCTCCTTCAGGAAGCCCTTTTGCCCATTCCACCCATCCAGTACCGGGCTTATCAGCTTATGCTCACTCGTTGGTTTCCTTTCCACAGAACTGGGTGGCTCTGCCCCCAGCAGGAAATAGAAGCACAGATGGAGCCACAGCTGGCGTCGGAAAACCTGTGTTCTCCTCTGCTCTCCCTCTTCACTGAGAGTTCCAAGGGCAGTTACGCTCTCTTAGCCTCCAATTCCTCATCTTTTTTTTTTTTTTTGAAACGGATTCTTGCTCTTGTCCAGGCTGGAAGGCTGGAGTGCAATGGCGTGACCTTGGCTCACTGCAACCTCCCCCTCCTGGGTTCAAGTGATTCTCTTGCCTCAGCCTCCCGAGTAGCTGGGATTACAGGCATGCACCACCACACCCTGCTAATTTTGTGTTTTTAGTAGAGACGGGGGTTTCTCCATGTTGGTCAGGCTACTCTCGAACTCCCGACCTCAGGTGATCCGCCCACCTTGGCCTCAGTTCCTCATCTTTAAAATGGAGATACCGTGAGCATCAAGGGAGACAGGTTATCTGAAAATGTGACTGCTTAGCCCAGCTGAGTTACTGAAAGCAGCCAGCTTAACATGGGGTGTTCACTTGGAATCGCCATGCAGAGATGGGGGCTGCTTGGCCCCCAGGCATTTCTGTGAGGTCAGGGTCACTTCAGTTGCATCTGTCCCTCATAATCCCCACAGGTTTGTGCTAGAGGTCTGGTCTCTCGGGCCACCGTTTTCTGGGTTTTAGTGGCCACACGGGAATTTGAAGGACCATGGAAGACCTGTTGACTTCAAAACCCCTCGGTGGGATTCCCCACCAGGTCACTATTTTCTTATAAACTACTTGTCCTTGTGAAGTGTCCATTTTCTGGGAGATTGTTTGCCTAAACAAGGTTATGGATCAAACATACTTGAATGTAAATTGGTTTCATTTTCACCAAAAGCATGCTGCTAATGTCAGAGAATTGGGTGGCTGTTTTGCCTGTTGGTGGTGGTGGCAGGTTTGGGGGGTATGGGAGAAGAATTGGGGGTGGGCTGGCGCTGGTGCGTCAGGGCAGCCAGGGGCACTGGGTCAGGGGAAGGAGCCCAGGACTCGGGCCCTGCAGTTTCGGTTTCCGTGCGCATGCCCACCTTCTATTCCATTGTTCTCCAATGACATCCTGTCTCCTTGACGGTAAATCGCACATCCACATTCCTCCCGAGTGCCTGTGGACCTTATTCATATCCTGGGTAAAGTGTTTATGTCTGCACATGAAGGGCCACCTGGTGCCAAGGCGAGGCCCCGTCCTTGATCTTGTCTCCTGGTGAGGCAGGCTGCAGGGTTCGAGGCCAAGGCGACACGGCTCTTTGCCAGGCAGTGCAGAGGCCAGAGGGAGACCATGGGAGTCCTGGTTCCTGCTCTCTGTAGGGACTGCTCTTCCTAAGCTGCAGCTGCAGGATCTGGCTCCCAAACCAGCCAAGAAAGAGCCATCAACACAGCCTGCTGAGTCACTTCCCCTGCAGAGCCTTAGTTTCCATGGCGTGGTCAGACCAGACCCCTGTTCTCAGTCTGGAGGGGAGGGTCACCTGCACCAGAATCGCAGGCATAGAAGGTAGAGTGTTTGATGGAAATTCAGATGAGTGAGTTCTACCCTAAAGTCTAAGAAAGCGCCGAGGTCTGACTGTGGTTCCAGTTCCTGGCCTGCTTCTGAAAGTCCCAGGATTCCTTTTGCTCTAACACGTGGGCGAGGAGCTTACTCCTCACTCAGCACCTTGATCACTGCGTTCCACGGGCCTGGTGGGAGCCTCTGGGAGAGCTTCGCTGGCTTGTCTTGCCTCTTTGGGGTGACAGCCAGCCTCTCTTCCTAAGAGTTGTAGGAAGTGCTAACCTGGAGGTCTGTGGAGCGCAGGGGTCTCTGCTGGGCTCACCAGCGATTTCTAATGGCTCGTTTTTCTTATGGCTCATTTTCCTAATGGCTGCACATCATCTGATCCCCCGAGTTCTGCATCGAGGGAATGAGGCAAATAAAATGCAAGACTGATCTGGAGTTCTCCCTGCATTAGTGGTTAGCACAGTCCAGAACACTCTGATACCCTATTACACAGCTTTGTGTTGCAAAAAGGGGATCTGGACAGTCAAGCCTGAGTGTAGGTTCTCTTTCCACAGTGGAAACCAGGGGTTCTTAGTTGGGGTGATTTTCCCCCTGAGGACATCTTGGGTTGTCACAACTGTGGGGTGGGTGCTGCTGGCATCTAGTTGGGTAGAGGCCAGGAGGCTGCTGGTTCTCCCACCATGTGCAGGGAAGTGTCTGGCCCTGAATTCAATAGTGATGCAGTGGAGAAATCTTTCTCTTGTAAACCTAGGCCTTAGTTTCTCCATCTGTAATAACTAACATTTAAAGAGAATAGGATAGAAAATATCAAGTGCGTGGCACACGGCAAGGGTAAATATTATATGAAATGTGTGTGTCTTGAGTCATAAATTGTGTTTTTACTATGCTTTTTGAGCAAAAGAGTTTAAGAGCCACTTAGATCCTTCCTGCTGCCATAGTATGTTTTCCTGAATTGTAGACTTCCCGAGGTCACACGTTGAAAAATCTCATTGCCAGACTGGACACAGTTGTTCATGCCTGTAATCCCAGTGCTTTGGGAGGCTGAAGTGGGAGGATTGCTTGAGCCCAGGAGTTTGGGGCCAGCCTGGGCAATGTAGCGAGACCCCCATCTGTACAAAAATTAGCTGGTCATGGTGGCACACACCTGTGGTTCCAGCTATTTGGGAGGTTGTGGCAATAGGATTGCTTGAGCCCAGGAGTTTGAGGGTGAAGTGAGCTGTGATCATATCACTGCATGTCATCCTGAGTGACAGAGTAAGACCTCAAAACAAAACCCCGAATTCCCTTGCCACTCCCCTGCTCCGGGTGTGGGCTGACTGCTCTTCAAGTTCCCTCAGCCATCCAGGACCAGGAAATCTCCATGCCATGCAGTTCAGCCCTCACTGAAGGGCACAATGCAGCCCCGCCCCTGCCCCTAGACTCCTGTTTTTGGTTTGTCTCTGGGTGGGTGGGGGCTGGTTACCAGAACCTAATCATCCCCTTCAGGAGCCCCAATTCCTGCAGTAGGTGAAGCTCCTGGGACAGCCAGCCCCACCTCCCCTGACTGCCTGGAGCTGCCTCACACGGGCTCAGCCCTGGGCTGCCCCTTGGACTTCCTGATGCTGGTCTTTCCTGAAGCTGCACAGAGCAAGCCCTTCACTTATTTAAAACAGCACTCCGGCTTGAGTCCCAGCTCTTCATCACTGACTAGCTCTGTGATGATGGGCAAATTACCCCAGGGTCTGCTGCCTGGGCCGCCCCGAGCTCCACAGCCTGTGTGGGCAGGTTCCTCTGTTGTTTAGGAGGACGGGGGCTCTCCTTCCCTCCCATATCCGTGTGGTTCTCTCCTGTTTGGTTTTTCTGCTGAATTCTTGGTTCGTTGAGCCTTGCAGGCCTTACTTTTCAAACTTACAGCCATAGGGACCTCCGGGCTCCCCTGTGGCACCTGCTCAGCGCTGCCTCCTGTGGAACGAGTACCTTGCTTAAGTGATTTTGCATCCTTGGGAGCCTCTAAGATAAGAAGCCATATTCCCCTATCCCTTCTAGGAGAAAGATTTGCTGATTTTTAAGACCAGCTTTACCCCTGAGTCCTACGCCCCATTCCTTCAGGACCCCAAGGCATCGTGCCCCACCTGTGGGCTCTTTGTCTTCTCTGGCTGCCCCATCTTCCCTATTTCCATTAATTTCTCAGTGTCCAAGGCTTGAGACCAGGCTCTATATTTTCCCTTCTGGTTCTTTTGATTCTTATGACCAATTAGTTATCTTTGGATATTAAAGACCCAGCACAAGTAGCAGTTCTCAGAAACTATATGAGGCTTGCTAAGGTTTGGTCGTGCTGTGAAAAATGTCTCTTGCCTGTGTTTCCTCTTTCATGCTGGCCACCATCACCCTTGTTACCCTGTTCAGCCCTCACAACTATACCATTCTCAGCCTGTTTTATCATGTGTCTGGATCTTCAGACATTTCCGTTGTCAGCCATTTAGTGTGGGCTTATTTCCATGTGCTGTGTAAGGCATTTGACCCCCACAATCTGTAAACTCCTGAATAATCAAATTCAGTAAATTTAGGCAGAGCTCATGAATCTCCGTTTGAAACAAATAGCCCAGGGATTCTGATTTGGGCTGTCCTAATATACCATTTTTATTTTTATTTTTTTTGAGACGGAGTTTTGGTCTGTTGCCCAGGCTGGAGTACCGTGGCGCGATCTCGGCTCACTGCAAGCTCCACCTCCCGGGTTCATGTCATTCTCCTGCCTCAGCCTCCTGAAGAGCTGGAACTGTAGGCACCTGCCACCACGCCCGGCTAATTTTCTTTTTTCTTTTTTAGTAAAGACAGGGTTTCACTGTGTTAGCCAGGATGGTCTTGATCTCCTGACCTTGTGATCTGCCCGCCTCAGCCTCCCGAAGTGCTGGGATTACAGGCGTGAGCCACCCCGCGCCTAGCTGATACCATTTTAAATAGCACTGCTAGGGCAGACGCTCAAGACCAGCCTGGGCAGCACAGTGAGATCTTGTCTCTACAAAAAGAAAAATTACATGGGTGTGGCGGTACATACTTGTGGTCCCAGTTACCCCAGAGGCTGAGGTGAAAGGATTGCTTAGGCCCAGGAGGTGCAAGCTACAGTGAGCCGTGTTCACATCACTGCACCCCAACCTGGGAGAGCACAACCCTGTCTCAATGAATGGATAACACTCTCCTAGAGCACCTGTTACCAGTAACTCAGTGTTGCCTTTTTGTTTGCTGCCTTATACTCAATTGTGCGTTTGTCTTCTGTTTATGCACAGGTTGTGAACTTCCGGAAGCAAGAGATCATGCTTTTAGATTTTTCATTTGTGATTTTTAAGAGCCCACCTGAGGGTTATGTATCCAGAAGTTACTCCATAATTATTTTTAGATGAATGGAAAAATGGGTGAGAAAATGAGATTTTTAGGGAGATTTTTTGTTGCTCACTTGTAAAGAGTTTTTGGGGCGTTTTCTGCTGAGAGGTTATGTAGATAAGATTCTTAATGTATTCATTTTTTGAGGGGAGTAATAGTCACCACTATTTACTTTTTTCTCTTTCAGGGGACTTCCAGAGTGGCAAGAGAGTGAGCCTCTCCGTGTATCTTGGGGAATTTTTTGACATCCGTTTGTTTGTCAATGGTACTGTGACACAGGGGGACAAAAGGTAAGCCCAGAGTGTCTCAGAAAGGACCCTAGGGATCCCCTGGCACAAACCCCTCATTTTTAGACGAGGAAGCTGGGGCGCAGAGAATGGAAGCCAATGTTCTAAGGAAGGGAGTAGCAGGGCTGGGTGGGAGCCAGGTCTCCCGATGGCTGCTCTAGGTCCTCAGCCACTTTGCATCGCGGTCTGAACCGTACAACATGGGGTCGAGGTTAGAAGGTGGGAGAGACATCCAGAAAATGCACGAGAAGCCCACTTCTGAACTTAGCCTTTGCCCTCCAGCGTCTCCATGCCCTATGCCTCCAAAGGGCTGTATCTAGAAACTGAGGCTGGGTACTACAAGCTGTCCGGTGAGGCCTATGGCTTTGTGGCCAGGATCGATGGCAGCGGCAACTTTCAAGTCCTGCTGTCAGACAGATACTTCAACAAGACCTGTGGGCTGTGTGGCAACTTTAACATCTTTGCTGAAGATGACTTCATGACCCAAGAAGGTAAGATGTTCTGTGATACCATTTCCCTGAAGTGTGGCCATGCTTTTTGTTTCCTTGCTCATAAACCTTCACTAACATGCCTTTGCTGCCATTCAAACCTCACTGTGACCACCTCAATTTCTGTTGCCAACCTTCTCTCTTTGCATTCCATTCCAATGCCTAGACCTCTAGTTAAATCAGTCTTAGAGTTCCTCAAAGCTGACTTCGTTCAACTTTAAATTCTCTGTAGCAACTTGCACATGGCAGATGGTTGGTCAAACCTGGGTGGTTTGAGTTGATCCTCCTCAGCCCACTACAGTGGAGTGGATAAAATCTATGGAGTGGTCCTCCACATGATCCAGAGATGCTAGTTTGTGTGCATGTGTGTGTGCATGTGTGTGTTCACGAGCAATAGAAGGTAATATGGATAATGTGAAAACACTAAAGATGAATATTTCAACCTTCTCTAATTTCAGTTACATAAACATACAACTAGTAATGTTCCCTTGCCAAAGCTAAACACTTATATGTAAGTTACCTATCTTCCTTATGACCCAATCACTTTCTGATTAGAGGGTAAACATGCAGGCCAGGTGCGGTGGCTCACACCTGTAATCTCAACACTTTGGGAGGCCGAGGTGGGCAGATCATGAGGTCAGGAGATCGAGACCATCCTGACTAACACGGTGAAACCCCTTCTCTACTAAAAATACAAAAAAATTAGCTGGGCGTGGTGGCGGGCGCCTGTAGTCCCAGCTACTCGGGAGGCCGAGGCAGGAGAATGGCGTAAACCCGGGAGGCGGAGCTTGCAGTGAGTGGTGATTGTGCCACTGCACTGGGTGACAGAGACTCCGTCTCAAAAAACAAAAAGACAAAAACGGGTAAACATGCAGGGAAACAATGGACTGTTCCTTTCGTTGGAATGTGTCATATTGGAAAATAGTATGATAGTTTATTTTTTGGTTTTCTCCAGCACCGATTTTATTGTCTGATATGTACATTTAGGGCTATAAATTTCCCTCTAAATATCACTTTAGCTGCACTGTATATACGTGTGTGTATGTGTGTAAATACACATATATGGTGTATATGTGTGTATATGTAATTATATGTGTGTACATACGTGTACACATTGTGGCCGGCCCAATTCTTTTGACGATATACCTAGAGGCAGAATTCCTTAATGATTTCTAATGGCAGTTCTGTTTTCTTCATGTATTTCATTATTTTTCAGGTATGTGAAATTTTAAAATATCGCCTTTTATAATGTCTATTTCTCTTAAAAGGAGAAAAATTTGATATGTAATTTCTTTTTAAATATTTTTAAAATTTTTTTAAGAAAAATTTGTATAAGGCCAGGTGTCGTGACTCACACCTGTCATCTGGCACTTCAGGAGGCTGGGGTGGATGGATCACTTGAGGTCAGGAGTTCAAGACCAGCCTGGCCAACATGGCAAAACCCTGTCTCTACTAAAAATACAAAAATTAGCCTGGGGGTGGTAGCGCATGCTTGTAATCCTAGCTACTAGGGAGGCTGAGACAGGAGAATTGCTTGAACCCAGAGGATGGAGGTTGCAATGAGCCAAGATACTGCACTGTACTCTAACCTGGGTGACAAAATGACTGTCTCAAAAAAAAAAAATTTATAAATTTATGGGGTAAAAGTGTAATTTTGTTACATGCAGATTGTATAGTGGTCAAGTCAGGACTTTTAGGGTACAATATACTTTGTACCTATTAAGTAATTTCTCATCTGCTGCCCTCTCTCTCACCTTTTTGAGTTCCAATATCTTATTCTACTCTGTGTGTACACATTTTTTAGTAACCACTTATTGGTGAGAACGTGTAATATTTGACTTTCTGTGGTTTGTTTTCACTTAATGATCTCCAATCCCACCCATGTTGCTGCAAAAGATGTGATTTCATTTTTATGGCCAAATAGTCTTCCACTGTGTATGTGTACCACATTTTCTTTATCTGATTATCTGTTGATGGGCATTTAGGTTGATACCATGTCTTTGCTGTTGTGAATAATGCACAATAAATATACCATTGCAGGTATATTTTTGATATATTGATTTCTTTTCCTTTGGGTGGATGTCCAGTGGTGGGATTGCTGGACTTAATGTTAGTTTTTTTTTTTTTTTTTTTTTTTTTTTTTTTTTTTTTTCTGACAGTCTTGCTCTGTTGTTCATGCTGGAGTGCAGTGGCCCGATCTCGGCTCACTGCAACCTGCACTTCCTGGGTTCAAGCAATTCTTCTGCCTCAGCCTCCTGAGTAGCTGGGACTATAGGCGCATGCCACCACGTCTGGCTCATTTTTTTTGTACTTTTTATAGTAGAGATGGGGTTTCACAACGTTGGCCAGGCTGGTCTCAAACTCCTGACCTCGTGATACGCCCACCTCAGCCTCCCAAGGTGCTGGGATTATAGGTGTGAGCCACCACACCCGGCAGTCCTATTTTTTTTTTAAAGTTCTGTGAAAAATCTCCATACTGTTTTCCATAGAGGTTGTACTCATTTACATTCCCACCAACAGTGTATGAGATCCCCTTTTTCCTCATCTTTGCCAACGTCTGTTATTTTCTGTATTTTTAATAACCATTGTGACTAGGGTAAGATGATAACCTCGTTGTGGTTTTAACTTGCATTTCTCTCGTGACAAGTTATGTTGACCATTTTTTTTCCATATTCCTGTCAGATATTTGTCTTCCTTTGAAAAATGTTTATTCATGTCCTTTGCCCACTTCTTACTGATATTATTTATTTTTCATTGTTGAGATGTTTGAATTCCTTGTGTATTCTGGATACTAGTCCCTTGCTGGATGAATAAGTTTGCAAATATTTTCTTCCATTCTGCAAGCTGTCTCCACTCTGTTGATTTCTTTTGCTGCGCAGAAGATTTTTAGTTTAATGAAGTCTCATTTGTCTTTTTTTTGTTGCCTGTGTTTTTGAAGTCTTAGAAATTCCTTGCCTAGACCAGTGTCCAGTACAGTTCTCCCAAGGTTATTTTCTAGGATTTTTATAGTTTCAGGCCTTACATTTAAGTCTTTAATACATCTTGAGTTGATTGGTTTTTGCATACGGGAGAGATAGGGTCCAGTTGCATTCTTCTGCATATGGTAATCCAGTTTTCCCAGCACCATTTGTTGAAGAGGGTGTCCTTTCCCTGGTATATATTCTTGTCAGCTTTGTCAAAGATCAGTTGGCTCTGTTCCTGGGTCTCTGTTCCATTGATCTTTGTGTGTGTGTATATGTGTGTGTGTGTGTGTGTGTGTGTGTATACACATATATGTATGTGTGCATATATATGTGTGTGTGTATATATATACACATTAGATCAGTGGAGCAGAATAGACCCAGAAATAGAGCAAACTGATCTTTGTATATGTATGTATGTATACACAGGCACTACATATACACACACTACATATACACACTACATATACACACTACATATACACACTATGTAGATATGTATGTATGTATACAGGTACTCATATACACACACACTCATATATACATACACTACATATACACCATATATACACACTATACACACCAATGACTACACACACAATCACTACATATACACACACTACATATACACACACTACATATACACACATATCTACACACACTGCATATATATACACATATACACACACACATGTTTTTTTGAGACAGAGTCTTGCTCTATCGCCCGGGTTGGAGTGCAGTGGCGTGATCTCAGCTCACTGTAAGCTCTGCCTCCTGGGTTCAAGTGATTCTCCTGCCTCAGCCTCCCGAGTAGCTGGGACTACAGGTGCCCGCTACCACACCTGGCTAATTTTTTTTTTATATTTTTAGTACAGACGAGGTTTCACCATGTTAACCAGGATGATCTCGATCTCCTGATCTTGTGATCTGCCCGCCTTGGCCTCCCAAAGTGCTGGGATTATAAGCATGAGCCACTGCGCCAGGCCTGTCTTTTGAAATTTCTTATATTTTTTTGTGAGTTATGAATTCAGTAGGGCATTTGTCCATTGTAGTGGCAACTGTTTCAGTGTTTTCTAATCTGTAAAATTACTAGAAATGGAAGTCTCAGCCTTATATATCTTTCATATTCCCAGGCTTTAAAGCTTAAAAACTGAAAATGGGGTCTATGCTGTGTTGGTGTTTGTTGGTAAAAATTCAGGACTCTGGTGATATTTCAGAAACCATCCTCAAAGGATTGGGGGTGTAATTGTCTTTGGTTGTTAAAGACTCAACAATATTTGTCCCTAAACAGTTAACTTTGCTTCTTGACTTCTAGGAATCTGCTCAGCTTGGTTTTTACTCCAGCTCTCGAGTTTTCTCTGAGCAAGAATATTTGTAACTCCATCTCTTGGACAGCCTATGTCTCATTTCAGATCTAGCCCGTAAAATTTCACTTCATAGACGGTCAGGGCTAAAAACGACCCTAGAGGTCATCTAGTCTAACTCCTCATTTGCATGTCAGGAATTAGGATCAGCCCAGATCACACAGGGTCATAGAAGGGCTTTGCTCAGGCAACAACACACGAAGCCGCCTCTGTCTCTTCCTTAATGTGGTTTATTAGAAAGTTTCAAAACCTTTTGTGATATGGAATGACTGAGTACCCAGAGAGTACCTATCGCAATGTCTGTCACACAGTCAACATGCCACAAATTTAAGTTCTCTTGCCTTTGGCTTCTCCCATATATCAGTTTCCTGTGGCTACCAACACATTACGACAAACTCGGTGGCTTGAAACAACTGAAATTTATTCTCTCATGGTGCTAGAGGTCAGAAGTTTGCAATCAACCATGTTGGGAGGGTCAAAGTTCCCTCCAGAAGCTCTTGGGAAGCATCTGTTCCTAGCTTCTTCCACCATCTGCAATCATACCTGACTCACGGCTACATCATTCCAGTCTCTGCCTCTGTCTTCACATTGCTTTCTCCTCTGTGTGTGTCTCTGCCCGTCTCCCTCTACCTATGTCTTTTTTTTGAGCTGGAGTCTTGCTCTGTCACCAGGCTGGAGTGCAGTGGCGCATTCTCGGCTCGCTGTAATCTCTGCCTCCCAGGTTCAAGCGATTTTCCTGCCTCAGCCTCCTGAGGAGCTGGGATTACAAGCACGTGCTGCCATGCCCGGCTAATTTTTTTGTATTTTTAGTAGAGATGGGGTTTCACCATGTTGGCCAGGATGGTCTTGATCTCATGACCTTATGATCCACCCTCCTTGGCCTCCCAAAGTGTTGGATTACAGCTGTCAGCCACCGTGCCCAGCCTCTACCCATCTCGTATAAGGATATAATAGATGATTGCATTTAGGCTCACCCAACTAATCCAACAGAAGTTCTTCCTCTCAAGATCCCTAACTTAAGCATACCTTTTGCCATATGAGATAATATTTACAT